ATCCCGAACGGGATATATATCCCGATTCGAATCTTGATTATATCCCGATCAGGATTTGTACCCCAATCGGGATAATCGTATAGCCCGATTGGGATAAATATCCCGTTCGGGATATAAGTCATGACTCGGCACTGACCGTTCTTCATATCCGCTCTCTACCCATTGACATTAAATAACCTGTCTCTAGATGTTCCCAAAAAATAAAACTTGTCATACCTTTTCCATAATATCGTTTCGTTCCTGAAATCGTTCTACTGATTGTTTACATTGTATAGCATGTTCCATTACTTCATCGTAAAGTAGATCAGTTAATAACAAAGATTTCTGTTTCAAATGCTGAACATGATAATCAATTTGATTTTTTACCAACGTTTCAAAATCATTTAAAAACTTCTTCATATATGTTTCGCGATCTTCCTTCGATTCCCATGCTACCTATATTGTGTGCAAATGAAAGTGGATATCAATTTTTTTAATCACTAAAAAAAATGACTTTTACTCACCAGATCAATTAAAGAAAATTTAAATTAAAGAAAAAATATACAAGAAAAAGTAACTTAATGGCAGCTCGTAGGCTGTACGAATCTTTTTCGGACGACCATTACCTTTTCTCTTACTCAATGGTTCACAACGCGTTTTGTCCATGACCTAGTACGTGTTGAATAAAATGCCTAATCCAACTGAATGTTTGCAGGTATATATTGATTTGTAGCGATTTGATCAATGGGCATCATTCGACGATTTTATGGCATGGCAGACATCACGTTGGTTAGTGTCACCACTTATATCGTGTACGTGTCCAACTGGTCTCAAGCAATATACCTGCAAACATTCAGTTGGATTAGGCATTTTATTCAACATGTACTAGGTGGGCAAAACGCGTTGTGTACCATTGGGTAAGAGAAAAGGTAAAAGTCGTCCAAAAAAGGTTCGTACAGCCTACGAGTTGCCATAAAGTTAGTTTTTTCTATAATGAGGTAATGAGGTACAGAACTGCTATAAACATGATTAACTAATCCTAATGTACTTGTAGAAGGGAGCGACTAGAGGATAAAACATGCAAAACTACGCTTTGTACCTTTTACCATCTAAACTCAACTTTGTCAGTCCCTTTCTTCATAAAGAAAAATGGAAATTAAGAAAAGCTAAAATAGAGGAAAACTCTTTTTTTTAAAAATCGTTTTTCTCTATAAAGAAAGTGTTTTTTGCAGAAGGGTCTAGAGAGCAAAATGTAGCAAATTTGATTTCACATTTTTTGTCCTCAAACTGCTTCCGCGTACAAGTTGACACCCCAACGAAAAACATCAAAATTTCCTTTTTTGTTTCAAGACCGCTTTGCAGGGATTGGACCCTAGCAGAAAAATTTTAGGGAATCAATTTTTCTTCAAATCATCTGTGCATCACTAGTCTCGAAAATGCTTTCGTCTTGGTCCAAACGCTAATTATCATTAATTAGTTTTATTTAATTAGTAGATCTCTTCAACCGTCAAAGGAAAGCGAGACTGAAAAACAAAATCTTTTTTTTAAAACTAAAGTGCCTCGAAATCGATATTATCGCAACTTTAATAAATCGTATCGGTGCATGGCTAGAAATAATCGAGTACATCGTTTTCTGGTAGCAGGCAGAGACTAAGTCTTTAGACATCGCAGTTTCTGTACAGATACGCCTTTGGTTTACAGCAGGGCTCGCACGTGGTTCCATCGTCCCACAGGACGGGACAGGACTTTTAAAAATTCCCTCTCATGAGGCGAGTTTGGTCGTCCTGTCCCGTGCGGAGCTCTGGTTAGCACTTCAAAAGTCGGTTTTCAAGGTAACTGCAGTGTACCAAAATGCAACGAACACGGCTTTCAAAATGGACGACACTCCCTATAGGATTTTAGAAATTTCAATAGAAACTAAGAGCCGTTACTAACTTTGTACGTTTTAATATTTTGTGAATCTAATTGCGTGTAAATCTGTGCCTTCAACTTATCTAATAATCTGTTTGGTTCATCTTCAGTTTCAGCAAATTTATTTTTATTTTTAATTTCATTTAAATCTGTTATTTCACGTATAAAACAGAGCATACGATTGGTCTGATCATGATTATTTTCGAGAGCACGATGAATTTCTTGTTCTGTGACTAAAACAGAAAAAGTATCACCGAACCAGAGCCTTTTGAAGGTAAAAATGAGGCATAATTTCAACCGACAAAAGTTGTTAGCTGCATAGGCAATGGCGGACGATTCACATTTGTGTTATGCTCGACGCCATCGGCGAAAAATTTATTCCTTTTTCTTGCAATTCGTAGTTTTTTTATAACTCTAAAAGCCAACACTTTTTCTCCAGAGGTGTAGCCATGACTTTTCAATTTCATCTGCATAGGCTATAGTGACGCGGCTTATTGGCTCACATTCTATGTCAAAGGCCAAAATGTTACATACCAGAAATAAAAAACAGATCCCTATCTTCCTTTTCTATCATTCCTTTCGCATAACATTTATCAGCTGCTTGTCTTAAATCTGTATGAAGTTTGTTTTCTATTTCATTCCATATTTTATTATCTTTTATCAAATCCTCAGTCAATGGCTGTAGAATATAGACGGCTTCAAGTGGATTCTGATCGACTTTATACCATTGCTCTACAAATGAAAGATTGATTAGATACGGATATAGAGCAGAGAATAGACGTTGAGTAATAGTTGCAGGTAGAAATCGTCCACCATAACGATGACTAAGAAATATCTAAAACCAAAAAATGAAATTAAATATCGATTTGCGCCAGAGATGATGTGGAGTACACAACGTACAATACAATTTGTTGCCAATGAGTATTTGTAACATCGATCAATTTCCAATAAACATTGTCGTACGGTGGAATGGTCAAACGAGGATTGATCTTGAATACCCCAACGCATATCAGAATACTACTCGATAAAAAGCAGAGCTATGTTCTGCCTTCAAACCTTTTGTCGAACAGAATTCTTCCACTGTTTGAAAACCTCATTTACGTACCTGAAATTCTAATCCATATTTCTCCTGACAATATTCCTTTAACTTTGGATAAACATTTTCTATCAATAAATTACGTTCTTCAACCGTGTCTAAATTTCAACGATTTTACAATAAGCTTCTGTAAGAAATAATTTTAAACTTCTGATAGAACGTAGAAGAGTAACTTTTTGCAAAGATATCTTCAAACTTCACGACAGAAAACAACCATGAACCGCTTATATGCTGTTATAGATTTTTTGTTCAATGCACACTTAGACATGCACCAAACCGATAGTTCGGTGACTGAACGGTTCGCAACATGTTCGGTCACCAAACGGTTGTTACCGAACGATTCGCTACTGAACATGTTCGCTGCCGATCAGCGAGCCCTAGCTTGGGATGGTTGCATGCCTGATCTGGACTAAAGGCAAATTGAATGAAATTGAAGCTTTTGAAGGAAGTAACCAGTGAGAAAATAG